AAAAAAAGAAAATCCAAACAATATCTAATGTGCTTAAGAAGCCCAATGTTATTTTAAGTTATTAATATTTAAAATACTCATTAGCCCAGGAACAGCAGCTCACCCCTGTTTAGCACTCTGGGAGGCCAAGGGAGGTAGATCACATGTGCTCAGGAGTTCAAGATCAGCCTCAGTCAAGAGAGAGACCCCATCTCTACTAAAAATAGAAAAACCTAGCCAGGCATAGTGGAGGGTTCCTGAAGTCCTACGTACTGGGAGGCTGAGGCAAGAGGTTCACTTAAGCCTAAGAGTTTGAGGTCGCTATTGAGTTATGACACTATAACACTCTAGCCTGGGGCAAGAGTGAGACTATCTTAAAAAAATAAAATGAATAATATATTAATCCACTAAATAGTTCAACCAGAAACTTTTTTCATGGAATTCAAGTGATTTTGACAAAAGCCTGTTACTTAATATCCCAGTAGCCTAGAAAACCCTTCCCCCATCATGCTCCATCCCATTTCCTTTCAGATGGAACAACAGAGACCAAAAAAAAGGGAATTGTTAACCTACAACTAGAGTCTGGGTCCTTCACTTTCAGTCCAGTGCTGTCTCCATTAGACCAGAGTAAAAAGTTAACACATCACCAATGGCAGTCGCATCTTTCTCTGGGGTAAGGACTTAAGGAAGGGTAAGTGACTTAGGTAACTATGGAGCAGAAAGAGCATAAAAGGGGAAAAAAACTACCCTTCTCTTTTCAAATACATTTAATTTTCAACTTTGTTTTTTAAAATACTTATATTCTAATGAACTATTTGAGTACAACATTGTAAGAATGTCTAAAATAGGCATTAGTATCTGTAAACTGGGCTTTTTCTTATAAAATTCGAGCTCACCAAAAAAACCCAGAAGTATAAAGAAACAGTGAAAAAAGAGCATTCGTAATCCTACCATACAAAACTAACCAAATTTCTGTGTTACATTCCTTCCCAGTATTTAGTTTCATACAGTTAAAACATACTCTGCAGGGCTCAGCGCGCATAGCACAGTGTTTACAGTGCCAGCCACATGCACCAAGGGTGGCGGATTCAAACCCAGCCCAATGACAACTGCAATAAAAGAAATAGCCAGGCGTTGTGGCAGGTGCCTGTAGTCCCAGCTACTTGGGAGGCTGAGGCAAGAGAATCCCTTAAGCCCAAGAGTT